GGGCCCCCCCCCGGTTTTTTGGCCACACCCCCCCCCCCCCCCCCGGCTAGTCAGCAACCCATTATCTTTGCAGGGAGTTTAGGAACTAAGCCCTGTGAAATAACTGAGAATAGCATTGATCCTTGTTTTGATACCTGAGAGTTTTGTTAACTTTTAACTTTGTTTGAATTCTTTTGCGATGGCCTCTACATGTTCTCAGTCTTGAAGCAAGGTGCTGCATGCTCCATGCTTGCAAATCCTTCTTAAAAGCCAGGCACATTATGGGAGAGGCACACGAATATTATTTTGTTGCATGCAGTGTTCTGGAACCAGAGCTTATCCGGCTGGTAGGTGCTGCAGTAAGCAGTGTTAGAGTATCTGGCCACTAGATGGGAGGAGGAGCAGGTAATGCAAGAGATACAGTTATCTCAGTATGTGTATTTGCTGCTGTTTTTGCCTGGGATAACAGCACCGGATTCTAGTAAGCTACAGTTTGTGGGACTAACCATATGTTATGTCTGCTTCTCATGGGTTGAGGCCCACAAACATGTTTTCCTCTCTGGTGTGGTTGCGGTTCTAAAGCAAGCTATCATCCTTGGCCTAGAATTTCTACATGATCTTTTTATGGGATTGTCAAATGTCAATTGCTACATTTAGGTAGTAGTGGTACATACATAACAGCCTTTTTTATCCAATGAGAGAGGGTATCACCACACCCAGATATCAAGAAATTCTTTGAGGTAGCTGCCGTGTCAAATAACATGTAATGTTCAGTTGTGAGATCTAAAGCTGGTCTTAAATGCAACACTCACAGACCCACCATTTGCGTGCATAAGGGAACTACCTTTATTTTTTCTTGTCATCAAAGTGGTGTTCTACGTGAGAATTAGATCAGTGAAGAAGAGTATTGAACTTAGATGCTTTGTGTCATTCCCGCAGAGTAGTTGACAGAGTTTTGCTTCATACTATACACAAACTCCATGTTTTATGAAATACAAGGCATATTATTACCAGCTTTCTTTCTAAGGCTGGCTCATCCTTTGGCAAAAAGGTGACATTCCTAGAATATTTGTAGGTCAATTAATTAATATCCAATGAACAAGCAGTTTGGGACAGTGAGTGCATTGTTTAGTATTACAAGAAAATGTCAAAAATTCTACAAAACGCTGGACTAGGTATACCATGCTATAAACATATAGGAGTAAAAAGGCTGCCACCTTGGGCTCCAAACCCCTCCCCACACACCCCCCCCTCCCCCTCC